GTAAGCCACAGTAATGGCGCGCGTTAGGAAAGATGACATCCGTGAAAACCATTATAGTAGCGCATCCTGCCTAAGAGGTTAAACGCGAAAAATATGGAATAGCTCGTTTTAACGTGTCCAACGAACAGCGTACTTCGCAACAAATGTCCAATCTAGGAGAAATCTTCAACGAATCGGAGATTCTGAAACTGCTAATCTATTGACAACATAGCGTCATACAGTTGGTACTACGTTAGGCCATCATCCATAGCAAAGAGGCAATAGTTTGTACAATTGTGGATGAACATGCTATTGAATGCCAATCAGAAAAATGATAAAATTCTAAAAATTAATGTTCGATGTTAACGCTAAAACTATCATGTGGATTAAAATGACACGTTTTAGACATTTTATTTTTACAATTGCTGAAAATAGCAGCTACTTTTGGTAACAATTACGCCGATTTTTGTTCAAATAGTGTCGCAATTAGGTATACTCTTTTATTTTCATTATATCGCAATAATTAATAGCAATTGCATCGTATATTTAGAAGCTTCTTGTTGTAATGATACGAGGCTAACAGCTTCCTCACTTGCAGCCCAACGATGCAACGGAAATGTAGTTATTCCCGAAATTACAGTCGTCGCTGTTTACTTTACCTTTTTGTTTTGGGATTTACACAAAAGTCAATTTTGAGGATGCTGGCGAGATTAAAAGAGGAGGAGGCGAGGTCCAGAATGTCAGAGGACATCGAAGACAAGTCGAGGGAGAGTATCAACGATGTCTGTTTCGTGTTTGAAACGTGTTCGTGATAGCGGTGTGTCCGCGTGTGCACTGAGGGGGATGACAGTACTCCGCTCGTGGGTCCGAGATGTCAGCTCGCTTCAACGCTATGGAACCCTGACACCGGGTCTAACAAACCTTGGGGAACGAAAATCTCCCATGGCCAATCCCAGAACTTGGCGCGTAATCCTTGGACACGCGATTTCTCCTCTCTGTCTATACGCCGTACCTTTCTCGTCACGAAACCAATCGTCCTCTTAGAGAGGCCCTGGAGTGATTCGAATATTTTATTTTTAACCTTCGACCATGTTTAATGGAATAATTATAGAAATGAAGAAATTGCAGATTTCGAAGAGGAGTATTTAAATATAAAGAAAGTATCTAACAGTAAGTAGCGATCGATGTCGAGGCATTTGAGGTGCAAAATTCGTTGGATATTTAGCGATAAATAATGACAAAATAATAATTTATTCCTTTATCCAGTCCATTAATAACAAATTTTTAAAAGGATCAATATTCTTTGCGACTATATTAGAACATTATAACGTAATGGGGCATACTTTAAGGCTATATCTGCGATATTTAGTGCATATCAAGATCGTAATTCCTTTACATGCAACGTAACTTATATTTATTTACCATATATCTTAACTGGTAATTAACGAACTGGTAATGGACGATAAAAGACAAAATAAAATTGTGCTTGTTATGACTGAGATGAAAATGGAATGAAATGAAAGATTGGGGCAGACGGTTAACATTAATAAAGACACTGTTAAAACAGTTGGAGTGTAAAATCATCTAGGATACATATACTACATACATACATACGTATGTTTGACACCATTAGTACGTGTATTCTAACTGTTAAAATAATAAAATAAGTAGTAGGTTATTCGAAAGTTCGCTTCATGAAAATTATTTCTTACAATCTTCTGCCAAGTAACGATTAACGCGGTAATTAAATAAGAAATTTCAAAGTTAGTCAGCAGAAAAATCTCAAATTTTCGTCGAACTTCGACTATCCCATATACTACTCCTCTTCACACCCCAAACTCATGATACATAAAATAACATAAAATTGCACCATCTACCCAATTTTTCGTTTTCTTCTTCCCTGAATGAACTATCTCTCTCGCGGTAAACATTTAATTGTGCCTTATACTATTGGTATACGTCGAATATCGAGGACAGGGAACTTTATATCGAAAGCACGGGAATTTGACGCGAAGTTTGGCGCGTGAGTAACTGGCGACACGTGGAAGGAAATACAGAGGTCCGGGGAATAAATTGCGGAACTATCGGCAGCAGGAGAACGTACCGCTTTAGTTCGCGGGAATTCTTTTACGACTTGGCCGGGATTTATACGAGCTGTAAGTGACAGAACCGACGAAAGCAGCTCACGCCGGCCAGAGGATAAATAAAAGATACGACGCCAAGGCGAATGGAGGCGTATACGACCTGGCTGGCCGGATACACCTCCGCGCGTGCATACTTCCGCTGTTAGAGGCGAATCTCGTTTCCGAAAATGGGATTGCGTTTAGTTTTACAAATTATTCGTTTAAGTGTAATTAGATGGTGACAAAATTGAATACTTTCCATTCAATTCTGGGTATTTTGTTCTCACTTTGCCCTGTAAACATGGTAATCAGAGGCCCGTGAATGACATCATGCTTGAGGGTGACAACAATAAATTAATTATAGCGTACATGTGATTTTGTATTTCATTAGTAAATGGTATTTTATTTACAAATACAAAACACGTAAATACTAGTCGAAATCTGGAATATTTAGAATGTCTTTCTGTGTCCGTAAGTGCCTTATCTTTCTTCATTTTCTACCTGCATATATTACGAGCAGGTAAATTAATATATTAACACGTTCTTGCCCAGGATGTCTATCTTATCTCGTCCCTTCAATATTTGCCATATTTGTACAGCTACAAGGAAACCCGTAGTATAACTGTAATATAATTCAAAAAGAAAAAATTTATACAAGTTTATTCATGCAGAATAATATTTAACTACGAGATAATTCGTAACATGCTTTTTTTAAAAAGAAAGAAAACATTTTTTAAGCTTTTTGATTATTACTATATACTGTAAATAAAGTTTTAAATAATATAACACGATTAAATCAAATTGGCTTCTTAGACCGGAATCGTGACAAGTTGCGTGGCAATCGACGTGTTAAAGACTCGATTAAGACCTTTCCTTATAATAGTACCTCTAGAAATGGCTCTCCTCGTATTATATGGTAGAATATTACTGAACATTTCAACGCTGGATAAAACATTTCTTCGTATGACCCTGACTATGGCTCTGAGATCTTCATCTGCTCAAATTTCTGTCAATTCGCCAGTTTCAGCAGTGGAAACATGTTAACTTTTACGGCTGGTCGACTTTACTGGACTATATAAATTTATAATGTCGATACGTCAGATCGTCATGTTACCGATATTCAGTTGGTTTTGGGTACACGCATGTTGTCTTGGCGAACGAAGAACACAACTAACGCTATAACCTATGCTATCCGATGTTTCCCCGTGTGCCTGTAACCTTAACGCATCGCCAGACAATCGTCGCCCGATACCAACCCTCGAAACCTGTTCGTACCTCGCGAAGGTACGGCGAAATTTCGCTTAATTCGACGGAAGACGCGGTGGCGGAAATTGCGGCACCAAGACCTGGCCTCGTACGCGTCGATCGGCGGAAGTAGCATCGCGCGTGTAGGCGGCCGCGTGCACGTGTTTCGCGCCGCAGACGCGCGAGTGCGTACTTAGGTTGGCAGAAGCCAAAGTCCCCTTGGAGTGACGCGAGACGGATATAATTGAAGGCGGAGGTAATTAACTCCCTCGTGGAGCACACGCCGCTCACCTGAGTAGAGACTTTTGTCAGTTGTCCTATCCCGGTGTCCCTTGGCTCGCGTTACCTCGTTCGCTGGTCTTCCTCTGGAGCAAGTCCTTGGGGTTAGCTTTAATCGCGTCGTGCTTCTCGTTTTCTAAATCTGCCATTTCGTCATTTCGTCATTTCGTCAGTGCTTCGGGTTAATTACAATTACGATGTACCAAGATGAATTATGGTTTGGGATTATGTTTCTTGAATTCAACGTGGATAATTGACTCGCGTTACCTCGTTCGCTGGTCTTTCTCTGGAGCAGGTCCTTGGGGTTAGCTTTAATCGCGTCGTGCTTCTTGTTTTCTAAATCTGCCATTTCGTCATTTCGTCAGTGCTTCGGGTTAATTACGATTACGATGTACCAAGATGAATTATGGTTTGGGATTATCTTTCTTGAATTCAACGTGGATAATGGGCTAGAAGTTTGAGAAGCGAAGGGACTTCTTTGGTAACGATAATGTTGTAATTTCTAGGATGAAATTAAAGCGATTAGCGTGCAGGGAAGTAACCGTATTCAGTTGTACAGCAATAGATACGTAAAGTTTAATGTAATAATAAAAGGGGTTTAAACACGTCCTTATGAGTTACAATACTTCAAAAGTATTCTACACTGTGTCCTTTTAAACCCAAAAACCGACAAAACAATTGATCAGTTATGGCTAGAGATATTTACAAAAGGCAGTATGGTACTTAGTACATCCACCAATAGAGCACTGGAGCATATGGATTAATCTGATCATTGATAATTTAAATTCCACGGCAATTCTATAATAATCAATGTATAGGTCACTAATGGCCGGAGATAATTACAATTGACAGTACGGTTCTTAGTACATCCATCAACATAACACTGTAGGCGTTGGATTAATCTGTTCACTCATGATTTCAATTCCATAGCAATTCTAGATTGATCAAAGAATAAATCAGTTATTGTTGGAGATATTAACAATTGACAATACAATGCTGAGTGCAGCCATCATCACAGTTCTGTAGCCGTTGGATTTATTTGTTCACTGACGATTTCAATTCCACAGCGAGTCTATAATAATCAATGTATAGATCAGTAATGGCCGGAGATATTTACAATTGACAGTACGGTTCTTAGTACATACACCAACAGAACATTGTAGTCGTTGTATTAATCTGTATATTGATGATCTAAATCGAAGGTTCTTCAAGTCCGAAGGTCGAGCATTCTTAGTCCTGCAACTTTGACATTCGACGGCTTCAGGTTCTGTTATATACGTATAGAATTTATGAGAAATTAGTCGTGTTTCAGATGCTCGTAGAGGGAGAAAGTGCGAAATTGTTACTAACTATTTTGTTTATTTCTGATTTCAGGTGTCGTCAATAAATAGGGTACTGAGAAATTTAGCGGCACAGAAGGAGCAACGGCAGCAACAACAACAGCAACAGCAAGGGGTGTCTGCCGTTGGCGTCGGGGTCGGTGCTGGTAGTCCAGCTGAGAGTGTTTACGATAAACTAAGGCTACTTAATGGGCAAACAACTGGCTGGCCGAGACCAAATCCATGGTATGTTTATTTTTCATCTGTTACCAAATAGTTCCTCTTCCTGGTTTCCTTTGTTACTTAAAACATTAGGATCAGTCACTCGATTTGTTAAATTGTTTAAAGATACCAGAGTGGTATTTAATAACGATACGTTAATTTTGTACATTCATCCTCGGCAATTGGATACACCAAGTTTGAAATTTTCATTTTAGAAATAATTATATATACTCTTCTAATTCTATATTTCAGGAAATATTTTCACGTATAATTATATAATACGAACACGCTCTATCAGCTGACCCGAAGGAGTTAAAGATAGTTTAATTATTTGATCCTTTCGAAATCTTTGAATAATTTGCAATCTAATAGTGTCGCAGATTAGCCTTTTCTTAAATTTCTAAATTTAAAGTAAAAATATTAGGAAACAGGTGTTAATATGTCTGCATAACTTCTCGTTTGAATTTCACTTGAAATATTTCCGAAATTGGCTCTCTGAAAATTACCTTCCTCGAAGCTAGGGAATTTCTTTAAAGAAATGAAACACTATTCGGTTGAAAAAACCTCAAAGACCTTAACGAGGTTAAACCAAGGCCCTTTCATTCCTAAATTTTATTTCACATTAGGTATCCATCTGGAGCTGGCAGTCCATTTCCATCCCTGCAGCCCAGCTTGAGTCCAAGTCATTGTACAGCCCTTCCACCGGATCCTGCGGATATTCTGCACGCAAAGAAAGGTAAGTACCGATAAAAAATTATCTATTATCTAAATATTCTCTTTGCTGTTATCTAGTCGAATATATTATTCAGCGAACTCTAGAAATTTCAAACATTTACTGTACAACGAATGAAAGACGATTATTATCGTTATATACATATTAGAATTATTTCAATATTGGGTGTTATATCAGGTGTCACTTATATACAACATATGCGAAGATGTTGTTTCGAATTATCACGAAAAATTAGGCAAATCATATAAAGTCTCTTCTTTTGCTTCAAACCATCTGTGGTTTTAGGGATGAATCGATAGTTACTTTATTCTTCATGATCGTAAATCTCACAAAACTCACAAAACAATTTCCTTACTCGAGAAATTTTATCTTCGAATTATTCCAAATTTCTAAATTACGACTCAGTTGAAGAAGCAAAACATGATCACAGTTGAGTCTACAAAAATTCCTAAAACCATCGAATACATGAAACAAATCAATTATAATTTACTATCGATAAACTTCTATCGAAGATGATGTATTTCTCGCATAATTATTTCACGTTTATTGAATTATTTTCTAAAATTTCTCTATCATCGCCATCCAACCCGTATAGGCATCGATTCAAAGAATCATCGAAGTCACGTAAATTATGCTTCTGCTATAAAAAAAGGGGGGAAAGCGAACTAATCCAACATGGAGTAAAATTTTCAAAACAATCCATACTTGGCGGAATCGCCTAGCTCGATTTCCAGCACAAACATGCCGGAAACTCGCTCGAACACCTTCACACAGAGCAAAAGTGGCCAGCGGTGAGAAATCCAGACAAGGGGTACATGCGTGTGGAGTCTGATGGCGGAGAAGGGGGTTGCGTTTGGTGAATAGGGGGAAGAGGCGCGCGCGGAGGCGCGTTTTAATTAATTAATCTGCCGGCTGAAACGATACTAATATCAATGTAATTCCGTCGGCGGGTCCCGCGGTTTGCCGCATGCGTGTGCAGCGCTTTTCCGGTAATAATTGTTACGTTTAAGCGAAACGAGAAGGACACAGACGAAGGGGGTATGGGGGTGTCGGGGTTGGATGGGGTGGAAACGTGGTTGCAGTCGACCGACCAACCCACACGAAATTGTAACTCGACCGACGGAATATTCTCTCTCTCTCCAACGCTCACCCCCTATCCACCCTCTCCATCCCCCTTGTTTGCCTCTCTTTCATGGTACGCGAGCGTGCACGCGTTCCCTTTGGCGGCAGATCAAACGCGCGATTTCTTTTGGCCTGGCGTTTTCCCGCCAGGGTGGCGGGCGGTGTCACGAGCAGCGAAAAACGAGCGTGTGCGTGAACAAGACTCATGCGGGGGGCCGTTTTTGCGTTCTCCGTACCATGCCGCTGGAATCTCGCGCCTCCGCCTCGGGGGAACTTGCCCGAGTCCGCGTTATTGCGATTCCATCTCTGTACGGGGAATCTTCGGTCAGGAATTGTCGACGGGGTGACGATAATAATTGGGAATATCGCTGAATTTTTCGACCTCTTGCTGTTCGCGAGTTAGAATTCCTGGCTTGTATATTCGTTCCTGGTACTTGGTTCAAGAAGAATAAAGTGGGCGAGGTTTTAATGGCGCGAAAGGGGGCAAACATTTGAAAGTCGGTGTTAGTAGACGTCGCCCCTGAGTAGTGTATATAAGGATGACAATACAGGATAAATTATACCGAAGTTTTTTAACTATTTTTCTCGACAAAACTTTGACTACGTCAAGCCTGAAGTTATCTCTGCAAGCTCCTTATCACGAAACTGTCTATTAGATAGAGATTACCGAGAAGAGTATAAGATTAAAATTTGTTAAAATACAGAACGCACATGAAGCCCTAGTTCTAAAGACACGTGCACAACCCTTCATCATCGTATCGTTGAGGGAAAAATTTGCAAAACTAGTAGGAATACGTAAAAGTTCTTCTATAGTATATACCATGAAACATACTGACCACTCGTCTACAAAATACATCTGCCCCAAACCCTGAGGATGTACCTGCAACCCTTCGTCATCGTTTCATCGTCCACGCTAAAACCGACGTGTTCGCGCAGCGTCGTTAATCGAGCACCCTGATCCGTGCAGGACGCGTTATTATTTTGTATTCCAGCAGGATAGAAGGGATACAATCAAATATGGTAACTGTTGCGAGCGCTCAACCGCACGCGGACCCCGGGGGCCGGATTATCTCTGCGTAGCTGCGGGCTTGCCGCCGTTTATAGGATAACCCGTGTCAGGAGGGTTGTTCCTCTTTCTCTCTTACTTTTCTCTCCTCTCTCTTCCCACTTACCCCTGTTTCCCTATCTACATCCCTCTGTCTGAGATTCAGCCGGTGCGTCCTCGTCCTCGGAGGTTTCCTTGTCGGTTGCACGGTGTTTCGATAGCGACCGATTGCGAGAGACGGAAATCGCCCCGGGCCAATCAGAAACGACAACTGGCACCCCGTTCCGTGGGGCAGAGCGAAAGCAGATTACGGCGCAATCATCTCGCTGATCCTTTAGCATGCTCGCTGCTTCTGTAAGTTGTCGAAAACTTGCGTGTCCTTCCTGTTTTGACTAGGGAAATCGCGGGGATCGATCATGATGGATCGCCTTTTAAAATCCTTCCCTTCCTGCTGGAATTTTTATCACGAGGATATTACGAGATCTTCGACAATGATATATCATTAGAATAAAGCTTCTGCTTCTTCTAATTATTTTTTCAAAATCCTTCGTGATTCTAGCTTCGGTTAGTACTCCCTTACTTGGTCGCAAGGTATGTAGGTAACGTAATTCCAACTAAACGTTTTCATAATTTACGATCAATTACTATACCAAAAAAAGCTCTAAAATATTATGAAAATTCTGATACTTTCTGCATAATAAGTGTCTCGCGACAGAGGTGATACTACTCTCCATATGAGTGAAAATTGTAGAATGTTCTGTAGTCATGAATTGAATGAGGAGGATTATAATACCGGGGATATAATACCTGCGATAATGGATCACGACATTCTGCTGTGCTTGATCTACGTATATTCTGAAAACGTTCGACGTGCAGCGATTGCGATGGCAAATACCAAGCTAAACGCTCCCCATGTCACGACGCATCGGTTGATGTCTACGTCGCCACCGTCGTCGCCATCTCGTCGACGTCGCCGTCGGTATCGGCGGGGTGTCTGCTGAGGCTGATCCACAATGCAACCCCGAGTTGCATTGTGCCGTTGCACGAGACACGAGACACGGGACGGGACGGGACGGGACGGGACGGAACGGGACGAGACGAGACGAGACGAGACGAGACGAGACGAGACGAGACGAGACGCAGCACCGGCATACGGAAGAATTCTATGAGAGAGGGTGGCGAGAAAGGAGAGGAAGCCAGAATAAAACTAGGGAGGAGGGAAAAAGAGAGAACGACGGCAGAGACGGTGAACAAGAGAGGCCAAGAAAGAAAGGAGACAAGGGCGCAAAGAGACTCCGTGCTCGATCGAAACGAAAGGGGTTCGGGTCGTATGGGCATTGTTTTTTCACCTCTCGGGTCCCGTGCTACGAGGCGAACGACAGGGGAGTGAAAAAAGGAAGAGAGAAAGGAAAAAAGAAAGAGGACACGAGTCCTGAATGCCATCCCAGAATTTCAATATCTCTGACATGTCACTAACGCGATCGCGTCCGCGTTCTCATTTCAATTGGAAAAACTGATTTCGTGGATCGACCACGATTCTCGGAAATCGATGTATCGCCCCAATTGTCGCGGAAAATGTGTTCCGTTTTAATATGGAAAAGATATATTTCTTTGGTAAATTACATTGAATTTAGTAACGTACAGATAGTCGACAGATTTTGGTTTCGTAAATTGTGATTTCTGGCAGTGAAAAGAATCATAGTATTAAAAACTCGAGTTACATGATTCAGATTTTAGTATCGGTATGTACGATGATAATCCGAATTTTAATTTTACTTGAGATGGAGGAAATCGATGATTGGATGATATTAGAAGATGCATTTGTTGAGAACACTGTCTAGCAATCATTTTCAATTTCACGCATTACTGTCCTCAAATCTCCAAAGGTTTGCTAGTTTTGTAGAAAACGTCCATTAGGTTAGCTTTCCACGGAGCTTACACTATTAGAAATCGTGCCATAACCATAACACGAATTCACCTTTACCCCAAATCTTGCAGGGGCCCAGTAACCTAACTTGCTCGCGGTACCACGCGCCAATTACCAAAATCTCGATGCATCAAACCTGTCTTATACATCTGCTTCTCTCCTTGCTACCTGACAGAAGCTACAGAAAAATCTGGGTCAACGCCGACAAAGCCTCCGCAACCATGTAAATACTAACGACTTGCGCCGGTTCTCTACACGAGCATACCAAAGCGTTAATTACCAAAAGTAAAGCAGACCTTCGTGCTTCACCGAATACCTCTCTTCCAACACTGCCAACCGACTGTTCAAAGTGGACCTACATCTCTTACCTTTCCACCCATAACCTACCAAAGCCAACCTGCGACACACGACCAACAACAACGCTCGTCGTTCCATTTTTGCTCCTCTCGCCATTGCACACTGCGTTTGGTCCCCTATGATTTCGTTCTCCAGGTACGTTCCATCGTTACCAGCCATCGTCATTCTCTGTGCTGGCAACGTGGAAGGTGTATACAGAACTCTCTGCGGTGTGTCGGTTGATCTCTGGCTGAGATACAGAGGTAAAACAATATAATGGCCGCCTGGTGCACCCTGTGCTAGGAAACCCAGGGTGTACTGAGAGCATTATCGTCGACCTCTTTATCTGCTGCACCCGATCTCCCTTTGCCTTTCTTCCTTTTTCTCCTTTCCCTCTCCCGATATCTATCTCTTTTCACCTAGCATACATTTCCTTTCTTCTCCCTCCTCATTCTGCTTCGCTCTGTCTTTTTCCTCGCACGTTTTGTCGCTGCCGTGCCCACCCTTTCGCTCCGCGTTTCTACTGCTTCTACTTCGTCTTCTGGAGCCTCGTGTCCCAGTAGGTAGGCACGTTGCAACGATGCGAAACCTTTTATCGTCGAGCAGGACAATGCACAGCCCTCTCTCTTTCTCTCTCTCTCTTTCTCTTTCCCCGTCTCTCTTCCTGCGGCTGGGCCCCGTTGTCGTCGTCGACTACACCCAGCATCGTCCTCGTCATCCTCCTCGTTGTCGTTGTTCTTGCCTCGCGCCGCTACCGCCGGCGTGGATCCTCGTGGAAACGCGCGATCCGCGTATTAATGGTTCCCCGATAGCTTTTGTACGTACGATCCCTGGCCTCTCTTTCTCTTCTTTTCTCCGTTCTGCGATGGTGGATCCTTTCGGTGCAAACGGAGAAAAAGGAAAAGTTTTTAGAGAGAAATTCAGAGGGTTCAGCTCAGTTGTTTTTCTCTTGTTCTTCCCCGTTCTTCTCTTTCTGCCCTTTTTCTCTTCATTGTCTTGCCGTTTTCGCGTTTTATTTTTGACCTTTATTGTCGGCCGAAACGGGTGATCCGAAAGGTTTGAAAGTAGTTTCACGACGGAGAGTGTTTGGGGTTGATTGAAGCTCGGCAGAGAAAGCTGATTCCTTTGGTTCTTTTATTTTCGCGATATAGTTATTTCCAACGCGTTTCCTTGGATCGCTGATGATTTCGAAGTGGGATGAGAAGATTGGATTATGTTAGATTCCGGTAACCGCAAAAGTTCCCAGGAATTTATTCACGATTACTTTTAGCTGATGAAATACAGTATAGTGGTTGAAACAGCGAATGAATTAAACTTAAAGTACCCTAATATCGTATGTCAACTAAGGATACTATACAATCATCGCGATTTTATGAATATTTTTACAAATACGTGAAAACGTTTTATGCAAGGTAGCCTAAACACTCGTCAGGCATACCTAAAGAGAATGAACATAAAAAGTACTTCAAGAAATTCAACAAAAGTGACGTTATCGTAGTTGGAACAGAATTTAACGAATTTCCCAAGGACAATTCATGTTTCTACGTTCTTAGATGCTTAATAACTAATTAATCTTCCACGAATGGCGAACGCGTACTTTTCAATGATTTTCTCCGCCTCTTTCCTCATTTTCCACGCTCGAACACGGTCCTCCAACGGTATCCAATGAAACCTTGTATATTCTACACGCTGTAATCCCGTGCCACGCAATTGTACATTAAAGTTCCACCCGATTCCTCATTTTCTCCGCATCCTCGACAATTGGTGAACGTCGCTTAAGAACCACTCGGCAGTGCCCTCTCGGCGATCCACTCGAAACGTCGCTCGCGGGATCATTATTCCATGCAACAGTGGGTAGAAAGTTTCTGTCGCGTTTTCACGAGATTGAAATTCGATAGACCAAGATTTTCATCCCTCGATCCGCACCCTCTAACGCTTCGCGTGTGTATTTAGTCGAGGTCGCGAGCTCGTTCGCTGGCCACGCGATGTTTGTGTAGCTATGCAGTTGTTATACACGGTGTGCTGTTTTGACTAAATCGAAGGATCTTGGAAATTTCGATTTATAGTCGAATTTAATCCTGGAAGCCAACAGGAGAGTTAGGGTGAAGTTTCTTAGAGGAATCGATCGAATTCGCGTATCTGTGCTATTTCATTTCGTTTACGTTTCAGGAATTAAGGTAAAATTGATAGTATGTCATTCCAATATACCTTGTTACTTAATTTTATTATAAACGTTTGTTATTTTAATATGTATTAATTAATACATTTTTAATCAGTTAAAACTTAATTAGGGGGACATAGAATTCGAAAAAGTATGTTATTGGAGGCACAGGATGGAATTTTTAAACGAGTACTGACGCTTCTAACAATTTCTCTCGTGAAAAATGTCAGGATTTCTCCTCAAGGATATTTACTCAGTATACACTCGAAAATGTCGTTCGATAAAGCATGGTATATAAAATGGCATATTTGGAAAATTTTATTCAATGACGTTCAGTCAATATTCATCTGCAAAATCTATAAAATTGCTCGTAGTATAAATTATTAAGTATAAATGACAGAAAGGAATTGCACAAACAATTTTCGTTAGTTTTTATTGAGATTCTAGATTGTAGTATATTCCACAGTAATAGATTTACTTTTCTTATAAAACACTATTCGACCAATAGATCTTTTCACGTCAGTTACTCACATAATACAAAAACAACATCTGTATCGTTAACCCTTTGCTTTTCTAATTTCTTCAATTTTCTTTTCCATAATTCCCTGTTATTTTCAGTGTCTTATCTTAGACGTGCTTCAGGATATAGTTGATCGACACGATACAATTTAAATACATTTTTGTTATTAATTACACTCACGATAGCATTGGAATCTTCAAATCTTCACGTAGATTCGTAGAATTTTTAATTACCTGAGAATGAAATCCAAGTCGATTTACACTCTACAAGAGAGCTAAATATCCTCTTTTGATAGTACATCTATACTCCATCCTCTCCCCTGCAAGCTCTCTCTATGCACCCCCGAGAAATCATCTTCAATTTCTTCGATTGATCTTCGAAATCTTCAATTTCCCAAACTCAATCCGTTATCAATCCGCGACGGTAAACGTTTGCAATTCGCAATTTCGAGAAAAAGTCATGATCAAAGCCAGCATTTGAAAAGCATTTAAAACAGGATGAACGCGAGTCTCTCATCAAACTCGGTCGAAATTTGCAGCATGTCGGAGCAATCGAGACCCACCCCGAACATCGACTCACCCTGCTCGAGAAGCACCTTGTATAATACAAACATATTTACAAGGTGTTGGAAGGCGTCGCGTTCCGAGCAGGCTCTCCTCGTCGGCAGCGTCGACAGAGAAACTCTATGCATTGGATTCGCAGGTCAGTGGGTTGTCGCGTCGAGTCATTCAAACCGGTGTCACCAGCGCTCGATTTATCGTGTTCGTCAATCTTGGAAGACTGACCTCCCGTCGCGGCTCCGGTTACCGTCCACGACGACGTACCAGCCACCCCTGCCGCCTCCGCCGCGTTATCCTGGCGAGCACGCTCCTTTGTCTTCCGTTTTATTCCGGTCCGCGGCGATGAACGAGCGACGTCGATGAATATCTACGCCGTCGAGCGGACGATAAAAAGCCTGGTCGTTCCGTGATCGCGGGTCCTGTGCACCGCAACGCTCGTGCACGGAGCGTATACGCGCGCTCATCGAGGCGCGGCCGTTGATTATGCGGATGTAAGGAGAGAGGAGAAGCAGGAGGATGGAGGGAGAAATAGGTGGTTGATTCTTGGAAGAATGCCTTTACACGATGAGATATTCTTTTTTCATAACGGATTGTTCCAAATTCTGGACTTGTACTCGTTTTTGGGGTGTCGATCATTTCTTTCCGAGATATCCTATGAAATTTGATCAAAATTCAAACGAAATGTCCGATTCGAGTGTACCATTTGCTGGCTATTTTAATTTAGCCAGTTTAAATTAATAATGGTGTTTGGGTATATGTTTAACAGGTTTAAAGTAGTGCATTATCTGTACGTCGAGCACGAATATCTAAGGGAATTCCATCGAAATTTAAACGAAATATGTGATTCGAGTGTACCATTTGCTGGGTGTTTTAATTTAGTCTGTTT